TTATCTGACATTACCCATATTACATGGCCCAAGACCCTAGACACTCACTTTATACTGTCCTTTATATTGCCACACTACAGGATTTTGCTGATTTTGTCATGTTTTACTTAGTAACTTACATTTACCTGAGACGATTCAGCTATGATTAAACACTTTCAAAACCTCTATTGCAATTTTTGAAAGTAATTATTTGTTGGGTAAAAAAAACAACTTAACTTATGAATGTTCCTGACTATTTCAGTACTGGAGAAGAATCCCAGTAATGCCAGGCATTTAGCACAAGGGTTCAGTTCTCACCAGTATTATTTTGACATATTAACCTTTGCAAGGTGATAACACTGTGGAAGCAGAAATTAAGTCCACAATGTGACTTTTTAAATATAATAATAATAATAATAATAATAATAATAGTAATAATAATAATAATATTTATATTTCCCACCTCTCCCTAAAGATCAAGGTGGGATTACACCAATAAAGTGTAAATAAAGAATAAGATTAAAAGATATATTAGACATAATTTTCCCCTAAAGCTAATGGTATTTACTCAGACTTAAGTGGTAATTTTTTTACACAATTGGTTTTTGGGATATATCAGACTAATTCATGAGGATCTGTCAAATGTTACTGGCCACAACAGATCTGAATAGAACCAACACTGTCTGAGGCAGTAAATCTCCCAAAGTTTCTTGAATTATGAGGCACTGGGAAGAGACACTACTTAGCCCTCTAGGCTTTTTGCCAACACTTACAGCTGCAGTTTTAGAAGGCTGTAGGGGAGACAGGGCCAACCCCAACACATTTTGCTGTGTGAAACAAATGACAAGATAGTCCTATCCTCCCATTCCATATACAAGCCTTTATCTGTGTTAGCGTATGGCCATTTGCACTTGTATTGCACATTTCCAGAATCAGTAGAAAGATGTTATCCAATATATGTTTTTTATGTGCAAATAGTTCCACATGAGATTATGCAAACGATTGCAGAACTGCTTGCAAAGCTGTGTGATCCAGTACAACTGCAATAGCAGGGATTTCTAGTTGGTTAGAATTGGGTTGTCATAGAGGCCTACTGGATAGACTGTTGAATCTTAGTTCAGTATTGGTGAGGCAACAGATTCCTGCACTGAACCAGAGGGAAGGAAGCACATAAGGCACCCCTCAGGGGATACATAGCTCTAACCTCAAATATATCTGTTGCCCAAGCTAGCCATCTCACTTTGGGGGGTTGCAGACTGCCAGAAATAGTGCAAATTGAGTCCACTTTTAGGGTTAGGGTTAGGGTTAGGGAATCACGGGAACTGTATTTTATTGTGGCACCAGAGCTCTCTGACAGAGAAGGCTCAATGTCTCAGAAAAAAACAATAACACAATTCCCATGATTCCCTAGCACTAACCCTAACCCTAAAACTGGATTCAATTTGCACTATTTCTGGCAGTCTGCAACCCCCTTTTGTAAGGCCAACCCTGAGGCTATGTGTGATTTGGCTAAATTTTAGGTATATGGGAGAAGGTGGAAATAAGCAGTAGTGCTTGTTGAGTTCATACACCTTCCCCCTTCCAGTTTAGACACTGGCTCTTCAGTTTCACAGGCTGGGATCAGACAAACAGAGAAGCTTGTAGGCTGTCAAGAGTACCCTGACCTGATTAACCATTACTGGACCTTTGGGTAGCTGATCCTAGCCATTTGAGTATGTGGGAAAGAGGAATAGCTGGCCAAGTCTCAGTTACAGTGATCAATTTCCCCTCTAGAGCTTGCAGGTATCAGAAAGCCCCAAAATCCTGTCTGAACCTTTGTTCGTTAGCAGCATGATTCATGACACTCCCTAGCATATTCGTCACAAATTGGTGGAAAATCATGTGAGTTTGGATGTTGCTGACTCACCCACTTCTGATGTATTCATTTCACTTGGCTGGGCAGAGAAATTATATTGGCATGAGCGGAAAACCTGTAGCAATATACTTATTTGCTTTTGATAGTGAAATACTTTTAATGAAATATCAGCCTTTCCAGAAAAGTCACATGTGTGTGCACCATTCCTAACAAAGAGGCGACAGACTGTTCCTTAAAATACTACTGTTCTGCTCATAGCTGTGTAGTCCGGTATATCATATGCAAAGGGATCTTGTAGCATCTATGAGTGCTAGGCTTTTTGCCAACACTTACAGCTGCAGTTTTAGAAGGCTACAGGGAAGACAGGGCCAAACCCAATATATTTTACTGTCTGAAACAAGCGACAAGATAGTTCTATCCTCCTATGCCTTGAGACTGAGCAAAAGAAGTTGTAGAATAAGCTTTCATAGACTTGGGGGGGTTGCAGACTGTCAAAAATAGTGTGAATTCAGTCCACTTTTAGGGTTAGGGTTAAGGTTAGGGAATCATGGGAATTGAATTTTATTGTGGCACTAGAGTTCTCTGACAAAGAAGGTTCAATGTCTCAGAAAAATAACAATTCCCATGATTCCCTAGCACTAACCCTAACCCTAAAAGTGGACTGAATTCACACTATTTTTGACAGTCTGCAACCCCCCTTGATCTACTTCTTCAGATGCATGGAGAACACTGATGCATGTATGAAACTGAAGGGTAAGAGCAAGCAGTGGGGAGATTACACACTCCTTTTCTCACTCCAAAGCCTCTAAGAATAAGCCAACAAATTAAAGCAAGTTTCTCCCAAAAACCCAATTGGCAGACTTTTCCCCTTCCCTCCTCATCCAAACACTCAAAAGAGTCTTCTTCCCTATGCAAAACCAAAAAAGAAGGTATTTAAATTTTCAACAAAGCATGAGTTTTATCCCAGTAAAACACATATATGTTTTTAATATCTCCGCCACAAATGTCAGTGCATACATAGAGCCAAACTGGAAGCGATGTGTGAAATCTTCACTTGAACTTCCTTTGCTTGAACTTGCTGTCAAGCAAACTCGATAATAGGTTTGCCTTAGGGTTGCCATAAGTCAAAAATCTCTTGGAGGCATACAACAACAAAGAGACAGAATTAGTTGAATGAAAGTAGGTGGAACAACTAATGGAGATGCATTTCTATATTGCTTTGGGCCTTATAAAGATGTAGACCAGGAGTAAGCAAGATGCAAGGATATGGGTCCAATTTCTTACATGGAGCCTCCAAACTAAAAAAAAATTAGGAAAGACAAAATAAAACTGGTCAAGGAGGGAAGTGCCAAGGCTGGATTAATGCTGAACATCAAAAAAATCAATAACACAGACAATCTAAAAACAATCTTAAACAAGACAATTGAAATAATTAAGAATTCCCATGCCCTGGAACAACCACTGATCAGACTACAGTCAGGAAATCAGAAGACTAGGACTGGGAAGGACAGCTATGAAAGCACTGGACAGAATCGTAAAGTGTAAAAGCATAACTCTGAACACTATGGGGATAGCCTAAGCCATTGTATTTCCCATCACTATGTGTGGATGTGAGGGCTGGACAGTGAAAAAAGGCGATAGAAAATCAACTGTTGGAGAAGAGTGATGAGGATCTCGTGGATGACCAAGAAGACAAACAAACAGGTTCTAGAACAGATCAAGCTCAAACTCCCCTTGGAAGCCAGGATGACCAAATTGACACTTGCACAGTGGGCCTTTTTTATCTGTAGGAGTTCTGTTCTAGACAACCCTGTGGATGGCAAAAACTGTGACCTCAAATCTTGTGATATTCAATGGCTGTGTGTGCATGTGTGCACGCTCTCCCAGAAATTGAAATCAATGGGGCTTGTTGTTTCTGCGGGTGCTCAAATCCATAGAAAGCCCACGGTTGGGGTGGGTGCACTGTACTTTGGCCACATCATGAGAAGAGGCAACGATGCTATAAAAGGTGGAAGGCAGTAGAAAGAGAGAAAGACCATATGCTAGATACTTAGACTTGATCATAGAGGACATAGGACTGGACCTGAGCAGAGGTTGAGGACAGGGGGTCTTGGAGAAGTCTCATCCACAGGGTCACCATGAGTCAAAGTTGATTCTAGGGCAGTTAACAACAAACAAATTTATGAAGTAGAATGTTGCCTTTTCTTGATGAAAAAGTTTGGATTATTTTTTAAAGAGAAGAGTGTATCTCCCACAACACTTTAATACCATTCCACCAGAAAACATTCCACTTCTGATTGCCGCACCATAAGTGGCTGCAACTTAAATCCTCTCCTGATTATACAAAGAAACAGCCCACTCATCTACTGTACGGAATCTACACAAGGCAGACAATGCTAAATAGCCTAAAGGAGGATTTAATATGTTAGGGAGGTTTTTCCATTTCAGTTCTGAATGAACAAACGTGACCCTTTCTATACAAGGAATTTAAAACATTTCTCCAGTTTCCTGAAGGGCGACTGATTGCTGTATTTTCGCTCTACTTGCCTCTGAGACAAAGTGAAATTGTATCTTGCCTGACCAGATCAGTTTATGTGAATGCATGTGATCAACAGACACATGTACCCCTCCAACCACCCCATGATTTATTAAATGTAATGGAATTGAATACAGTTATACATTTGACCCCTCATTGGCATGAAAGCCTTTTCCAAAAAGAGACAGACTTCCTCAGCTAATTATAAGATGGTAGAACTCCCCTTTGTACCAAACATCTCTTATGCATCATGCTAAGAGTATATTCACATCTCAGACTTCAGGTTTCTAGGTGTTTTTGATTTAAAAGTCCCAGCTGGCCAGGGATTCTGGGAGCTGAAGCACAGAACATCTGGAGTATCAAAGATTGAAAAACATGGATTTACATTACACAGTTACAGAAGCTTGATAACACTTTGTCATGTCTGCATTCTAAAGATTATTGGGATTTGTAGCTTGTTAAGATGTTGTTGCTGTTGTTGTATGCCCTCCAAATCATTTTTGACTTACGGTGACCCTAAGGCGAACCTATTATAGGGTTTTCTTGGCAAGTTTCTTCAGAGGGGGTTTGCCATTGCCATCCTGAGGCTGAGAGAGTGTGATTTGCCAGAGGTCACCCAGTGTGTTTCCATGGGTGAGCAGGGAATGGAACCCTGATCTTCAGAGCCACAGTCTAATACCCAAATCGCTACACCACACTACCTGATTGGTTTGGTGAGATACTAAATCAATTTATTAGCCCTTACTAGAGTAGACAAGCTGAGTCAATGAGAACTTGGGAAGTCAACCTTTACACAAGTTCCATTGATCAATAGGTCTACTGTAGTTGGGACTAACAATTGGATTTAGGACCTCAAATTTTTTGGTGGACAGTTCTAGTACAGATTGAGGGAAAGCAGTAGAGCTCTTTAGTGGCAATTTCTAAGCACCAAGCTATCACTCTATATTCCGTAGGAGCTATACTAGTTAAAGAGACATCAAAATACTATAACTGTGTAGTACAGATACACTTGATGATTAAAGGCTCACACAACAGCATTAATGGCTTTTTAAAAGTAACAGCAAACAGTTTTCAGTAGGGACAAAGTGTCTGTATGAAGCTTTAATCCAGCTCAGAGGCCCACTTCTACTTTCTTGATTGGAAGAACTGTTTCCATCAGTGGAAAGGTCTAGTTTGACTTTGACATGATGAGATCCAAATGTCAGTGAAAACTGAGCGGGAGGCAGAGGTGGGAGAGATATGAGGGAAGACTTCTATTATCCTTAAGGAAAAAGCATGGCTTCTGTTCCAAAGAGGCAAGAGAGTGATGACAGTTTTATTTTTCTCTTGTTTTGTTTGTTTGTCCTATGAGAAGATTTGGAATTGCATACAAAGGCAGCAGACTATTCTTTTTTACTGAGTGGGTAAAAGACGCAGAGCAAAAAAATGTTGATGACATTTCTTGGGGAAAGGATTAAAGAATGAAGGGATTGATTGAAGTGAGGAAAGAAAGTGAGAGCCAAATAAAGTGGATGTTGCAGGGCTTGTAGCCATATGACTACTATGTCTCAAGTGCTGCGACCTGCCCTAAAATCTAGAGGAATGTCCCAGGGAGCCACAGAATTATTTGAGAAGTTGAACAATTTGTCCCTTTTCAAATTTCTTTTCTTTTTAACCCTGTGTGACACTGCTACCTTGATACCACTGATGCCAAGTACGCAGAATGGGTCTTTATACTGTAAAAATACCCATAAGTTTATGTTGCTACTTAGAAATGACACAACACCATACAGCACTTCTAATTCCAAGCACAAAATGTAATATCAGATATCGGCCAGATTGCTGAGAAAACAATTATCTGTTCTCTCACTTGAGAAAATGCTTAAAGGTTTTGTGGTTCCAATCATCACATGCATTGCTTCTTGAGCAGTTTCAAGTTCAATATTCACCTTTTTATCTGAACATTAAATGAGAATGATGTTCTTTGATTCCTAATGTAAACTAATTTGCAACTGCAGCTTTTTTCATCTGCTCAGGCCTTCAGAGGAACTGCAATTTGAAGTTGAACTGAACTGGAACCATCAAAGTTTGCTATTCTTTAAACTCCAGGTGTTTGTCAAAGGATCCACCATTTCATTTGGGATTATCTTGACACTTATCTTCATGTGTGTGTGTAGGTTTCTTTGAGACAGTTAATCCTGTCTGTTTGAAGACCCAGCTTGCATATGGGTACCACACACACACACACACACAAATTCTGAATGAAATTGTGAATGAAATTAAGTATTTGCTTCTTGGTTAGTGCAAGTTGTGAAATATTTAATTTTGATCAAACCCTAAACCATCACTAAAAGAGATCATATGCAAAAGGATCTTGCAGCACCTTTAAGACTGTGCAAAAGATGTAGCATAAACATTCGTAGACTTTGCCTAATTCATCAGCTGTATAAGAGATGCAAAAAAGATCATTGTGGCCTAAGAAATGTGTAGAATACATGTCCAATTTCACTTGGAGCATGGGAAAGATAATTGGTTGGTGATATACCTAGAATCCTGTGTCAGAACTGGGTGTGTTGGCTGAGGACTTCTGGAACTGTAGTCCAAAGAAGTAAATTCCCAAGCTGTGTAGTATCACATGTGATCTCAGCCAACCAGAGGTGTGAAGATCTAAATGATCCACTGTAGGTCCAAACAGGTAGCATGATCCAGCAGACTGTGCAGCCTTCTTCTACTGAAGAACTGGGTGCTTTTATTTGCAAAATGGAAGCTGTTCCACTGTTTTGTTTTTGCATTTTTGGTACAATTTTTTTCTAATTAAATTTTTATTGAGTTTTTACAATAAAACATATAAAGTTTGTAGAACACTGTTGACATTGTATAAACTGTGGATGATAACATTCCTACTAAGGAGGGCCTAGCGATGAATTTTAAACAAGCCAAGTCCAAAGCAGAGTCACTTTGTTTTGAGTTTCTTACTTCCAATGGGCTTGTTCAACTTTTCACCATCAAGAGCAGCTGGATCAATTGTATTATCACTTAACAGCATCATCACTTCATTAAACCACATCCTTGTTCTCAGCCCCTGCCAATTTATTATTGCTAAACCTGACCTCTACTGGCATCTGGAGATAGCCAGATTATTGAATGTGACCTTAATGAAAAGTAAACAGTTCCCACAGCTGTCTTGATTTGGTAATACATTCCAATTCCAGTTCAAATTCTCTACATTTTGCAAATGTAGTGCCAATTTGTCCTTTTTTGGGGGCAATCCTTGGCTGAAAGGAGTGTCGGACCATCTTGACATCTTGTTGTTCTTCCAACTTAATGCATACATTATGGGCTCAAGAGACATCCTTAATGACTGTCAATAATCCCCCAGAAGGTTTGTGTTGATCATAAGAACATAAAAAACATAGATGCTAATCCTGTATTTTCCATGCAAAGGACATTTTTTAGACTTAACATTTCACTGCATTCTCACTATTTTTGTACTGTTCCCATAGGTCTCTAGAGGAGATTGGATTAAAATTAGTACTGTACACCAGGAAATTGTTCCATGATTAGCACAACCTACAGGAGATAGTTCCATGAAAGCCCTACTAAAATAATATGGATGGTGAAAGAACACTATTGTGCTCTTGCACTGCTTTAGGCATATCAATGTAGCATGAGAAAGGGAACTTCCCCAGTCTGGCAGCCTCCAGTTGTTTGATTTCAGTTGTTATCATCCCAAGGTATTCACCATGTTCACTTGGGATTATGGGGCTTGCAGACAAACACGTCTGGAAGATTCCAGGTTGGTGACAGTTGCAGACTAAAGCCCAGTACATTTTTAAAAGCACATACCTGACATTCAGTTTTAAACAGAAACATTTAAAAATCTTTGCTTAAAAACCCCCAACACAGAGTAATATATGACATTAAAATTGACATACCAGGGGATCTTAAACTTTCCAAAAACAATCCTGTAGATCTATGCTTTCAACTTTTAAGATACATGGTATTTGGAGAGCTGACATTTTTTCTGCCCCACACTTCCTGAAATAGGGAAATTATGAAATTAGTGAAATATGGCAGTATGACCTGAAACTGGCCAATCAAATATTGAACAAGAAATGTCCTAATTCTCTTAACCAGTATATGAAAATGATACATAAAAGAATGGCGCCAGAAGCTACGTTTTTGTCAGAAGGTGTTATATTCAGCCAACATCATTATTTCTTGTGATTTACACATTTTTAGCAATGTTTTTTAGCTTTTTGGAAGGATGAGGTTTCCAGCAAATCCACCACTCCTGGAAGCCCTCCAGAATTGGTGAAAAACATTTGAGAATGTGAGGGCTTCTCTACTGTGTACGTTTTTGAGGAAGCCAATGGTACTGGCTTGAGAAGTGAAGAGTAGATCTGCTGTCATTTCCAAGGCAAGTCAGACCTGTTCCTCTATGCGCAGGGGAACTGTTCACAGGAGGGTGCTGTGTGGCCCACCTGATGTTGCTGAACTGGATCTCCCAGCCTTCCTCACCACTGGGCTGCTGGGAGCTGCAGGTCAACAACATCTGGAGGGCCACAAAATTCCCACCCCTGTTCCAGTTGCCCACTAAAGCATCCAGCCAGGAATACAGTTGGGTCCTGCTCACAGGTAGATGTCAGTTAACAATACAGATGTGTTCTTGGGCCCTATGTCTTTAACACAAAATGTGGTACCGAAGGCAGAAATGATATAGAAAGAATGGAGATAAGTACCTACAGCATACAAAAAAGAAGAGCAGTCCAGCAAGTTCAAATAAACCTTTTATGCAAAACTAACAAAATGCACATGTGAAATGAAACCACCAGGTTAGGTAAGTTTTTGCAAAAGTAGACAGAAACATTTTGAATTTTTTAAGATTCCACTTGAAGGTTTCCAAAAGGCATTGAGGAATGACTTTTTCTTTCACCACCTCCCACCTTTCTTATGGTTTCCATTTTGGGGCCAAACCTACAGATCTATGCTTTTTAAAACATGTTGTGGGTAGCGGCTGAGGGAGATTTCTCTGCTTTCCTTTTTTCTATATTTTGCTATTCATGCAAGCTTGGGGATTCTGAAGGTAGCTGTTTACCCTACCTGCTCTAGCCAGGCATGTGCTACTATAATAGAATCAGCTAGAGAAGAATCCCATTCTTTCCCAGCTCAAGCTTTATTGTATTCTTTAATGCAAATGTGCTGTGGCAGTATGACACTGAAAGTCTCTCCAGCCTGTCTTCACCATCTCTGTTGGTGCTAAAAACTTCCAGCTAGATAGAGGAAGAGAAAGGTATAAAAAAGAGCTTCACTGTTAAAGGCTTTAAAAAACTGTAGTATGCCTATGTAGCCTGTCTGACATAGTTGGGGTAATGTTTTACCAGTATCCATGGTTTTGTTCAACACATACAGGGAAGAAAACCTGCTCTCAAACCTCTGGCCAAGTGCAGACACATACATTTTAGCAGGATCTGTTTGAGCATTATGAGCCTCTGTCTCTAGTTTCTCCTCCTCTCCTAAAAGGCTGTTTTTATCATCCACACATATGAAGCATTAAGTTCAGGATGTTAACTTCCCACCCCGCCCACCCCTCCTTCCTTGTTTGTGCTGAAAACTACAGAAAGACATAAAAGGCCATCATATTGCTTACGATGCAAGTCTAAGCCCCAGCATAATGCTTGAGAAATCCTGGCCTCTTTCACTAAAGTGCTGCAATGTGTTCA